AACGTTGAAAATGGGGCTGTAGACGCTTAAATTTTGCCCTTGAAAGGTTTAGTGATGATATATCATCTTTTGTATAAAATTGGATCAGGACTCCCGATTGCTCCAGTTTTTGGACTAATGGTCCATGGCGGAGATTATCTACATGTTTAACCATTTTTACTTTTTTGGGTTACCATGCATTTCGCTACAAAATCAAGCGCGAGAAGTGTGTCAAGCCCACCCAACACACTTCCCGATGCACCACCTCATTTTGCGTGCCACCCGATCCATTTTTGCCACATCAGGCCTAAATGGGCCCACCCTACCCTCAAATGCCTATAAATAAGCATTGGGGGTGAGCCAAGAGAGGAGATTTTGGATAGCTTAACAAAACTCTTACAAATTTTTCGCTCAAAACTCCCTTAAACTAAATCTATAACAAGTTTTATTGATTAAGGTTAAGAGAGAATAATTTTCTTAAAGAATCTAAGTAAGTTTACAATCAAACTCTCTAAAAACACTTACTTTAATCTTGAATCTCAGACTATTGGATCAAAAGCCTAGTTTTTTGGGTTTCTTCATTCATTTTTGAATCAATCTTCAAATGAATCAACAAAGGTAGTTTCTGAGAACCTTAAACTCATTTTTTGTCTTTTTCTTTTCCTTTTCGGTGTTTTAAACACCTGTTTTGGATCTGGTTATGAGGAAAACCTAGGACAACCTAAAATAGGTTTCTGTGCCTCTATAGCGCATGGCGTAAGCCACTACATACGGTGTGCGCCACAGGCCTACTGCTCGCTCCGCATTAGCCTAGTTCCCCTGTTTTTGCCCTATTCTCTCTAGAAGCCTTCTTGATCTGGGCACCTACGCCACTAAGTGTGGCGTGCGCCATAAGCTTGTGGCGCATGCCATAGATCCCTATGGCACAAAGCCCTTCAATTCAGAGGCTCCGAATGTTTATAAACTCAAAAAATGTCCCGATTTGGAGATCCAGTGGCCAAGCTCCGACCTTAAATGGTCTGTGATGCGTATTAAGTCACATATGGATTAAATAGACAATAAGAACTAGATTGAGAATCATGATTGGTGTATTTGTTCATCCTTCAAGGATGAACATCAAGGCCATGAGCTTAAATCGTGTTCAACCATTTAAATTCTCGTCATTTAAGTTATTGTCTTTACATTTCAAGCACCTTATTATTCTGCCCTTTTTTCTATGCCTTTTTAATTGAATGCCTTATGTTTGTTATAAAGCTAACCCTTTTATCCATCACATTTGTATCAAGAACATGCATCATGTTTTCATTATGGGAAATGAATGATTGATTATTGGTTGGGTTTTATTATTTTATGATTTTGAGAATAATGTTTATTTTGTATTTGTGTTGATATGGATGCTTTATTCTTATTATGCTTTAATGTTGTATTATTGCAAAATATAAAGGGTCCTACATAGATTCCTAATAATTGCATGTTTGTAATATTATTGGATATTGGGCAATCTGGAAGGTTAAAGGTAGATTGTAAAACTAGGCATGGATTGTAAATCTTTTCTCATTCCCCCCTTTATTTGAATGTATATTTCCATGCTTTATGTTTCTTTGAGATGTATGATTGACATAGTTTTCCAAAATTACATAAAAAAGTATATATACCTCATTTTTAGTTAATCGCATTATTCAAGTTCTGTGAATTATTGGACAACAAGGAGGCTGGTTTAAAATCGGGTGATAGGAGTGCCTAACACTTTCCCCTATCGTACCCAACTCCCGGACCCCGTCCTCCGATTTAAAACTGAATTAGCCAAATCCAAAGAATCGACTAATTCGAGATTTTTTCCCTAATAAGGGTAGCGACTCCAAAATAAAACTCTTACCAAAGTAAGAGAGCCTTTTTTTGAAGATTAAACGAGTTTAATAAAAGAAAACCAATTTCCAAATAAAATGAAACAAGCCCGTTTGATTTGATTCTTTCCAAACTCTTAGAAAAAAATCTGACATTCTCATGGGTCTATTGATTCATTCTCCCAGTTAGCCACCACATTTCGGGCTCGATTCATAACATGTGTACCATCTAGGAAGATATCATCTGACTTAGTAGACCTGAAAAGGGAGGAGGGCGAGACCCTAAGGCAGTATGTCTCCAAGTTTCAGATGATGGCAATGCAAGTGGAGAACTTGAATGATGAAGTGGCTATTAGTGCTATGACAAAGAATTGTAGATACAACAAATTGTTTGAAAGCCTAATTAGACCCTCTTCTAACTTTCTCCGAACTAATGGCGCGGGCTCATAAATACACAAAATGAATGAAGCCTATAGGCTCAGCAGCGTAGATCGCCCAAGGAGGAGAAACACAGCTACAGAAGACATCCCTCCACAGTAAGGAGATGATCGTCCTGAAGGGATCGCCCATTTGACTCCCACGAGCTAGTTATGCTGCTAGAACACCATATTCAAGAAATGAGAGGATAGGTGGCATATAAAGAAAAGAAAGTTTTTATATATTTAATATTAGGGTTTTGATCCAATGATTATGGTTAAATATAAATTATGATATGAAGGTGGTAATTTAAGGAAAATGGATACCCTTGATTAAATTTTAGATTAATCTAAGGATTACATGTAACACCTGCCGCCCGATCCCGAAAGACCCGACAGTGAAGAAGAAGAAGAAGAAGAAGAAGAAGAAGAAGAAGAAGAAGGAGACGTGTAGGAAAAGAGAAAGAAGAAGAGAGGAGACGGTGTAGGAAAAGAAGAAGAAGGAAAATTGTTGTTCAATAATTGATGGTTCCTTTAATAAAGCAACTAAAGGGTGTTTTGGTGCTTTTCTCCAAATTGGATAGCTAGGATAAGTCACTAGATTTAGTCACACAAATAGTTCTCCAAATTAATTCTTTCAAAATATTATTTATCTCCACAAAACTTTCTAATTTACTTCCATAAAAAAAATAAATTCCTCAAATTTCCTTACTTAATATAACAACCATAATATTTCACTATTTCACAAATTCTCTAAAATTTCTCCAAAAAAAAAACTTTCTAATTTACTCCATAAAAAAAATAATTCCTCAAATTTCCTTACTTAATATAACACCATAATTCACTATTCACAAATTCTCTAAATTCTCCAAAAAATATTCCTTACTTTTTTCTACCCATAAAAACCATGCATACATGCTCAAAAAATGTTTAAATAAACTATAAAACATAAGTAGTAATTTTTTCAGACAAAAAATAATACCAACTTCCGGACCGGTGGTACTATTCACGGACCGGTAAACTACTATTGAAACACAGTAAAAACAGGGCATTACATTACAAATATGCCAAGTGGCTTTGAATGATAGATCTTGTTTTATTTATATTAAATATAAGTATTAGAAATATGAGCTTCATTTACACTTCTTATAAGTGAGCCTCACACAATTTATTTATTACCAGTTGTATATCATTTTTTAGAATTTTATCATTTAAAATATTAAATGTAATTTTAATTATTAAATAAAAATTAGATTTATAAATAATTATGTTACGTATATGTATTGATGTACATATGTTTTTTGAGTTTTGAATATTTGTATGTGGTTGTAATTATTATTTTGCTATAAAATACTATGTCACTATTAAAATAATTATATAAAATAAAATAAAAATATTTTTTTATTTTTTTATTTCTGGAGATTATGGTATTAATTGAAATGTCAAACTAGCATATAATCTTAATTTTCGTCAAACTCTACTTCAATTTTTACTAAATAATTAAAAAAGTCAAGTTTCTATTTAAAAGTCAAGAATCCAGTTGAACCGATCCAATCCAGTTCAACCACGATCCAGTCATACTGCCGGTTCTATATCCAGTAGGGTTTTAAAAACATTGATTTTACCATTATTTTAATGGTTACACACAATAAAATGAGACACAAGGACTAAATTATCTAATGATATTAAAATTTAGTGATGCAATTATGTATTTTGAAAAAAGTAAAGACTAAATAATGTATTTAATCATAATAGAGGGACTATGTAGCAATTCTCTCAATGTTTATTTTTTAAAAATAAGTTACATTTATGGGTCAAAATTAATAAATTAAAAATTATTTTGAATAACCACTATTAATTTTTATACTACTTCATTATCAAAATAATTAATTAGGATAAAATTTATAAAAAAATAAAATTTTTAAAATTTCTCTTTAGTTTTCACACAAAAATCAAAGTTTAAACTATGAATTTATAAACGAAACAAACCACTTTTGTAATAGTAAAAAAAATTAACCGTCCATCACATAGGCGTAGACACGTATAAGGATTAAGGAGGACTCCTAAACCATATAATCATTCCAATCAATGTAAAAATATCTCCTACATTCAATCTTATCCTCCTATCCTAGTACTGTGTTTGGATTAGAAAGGAAAAATAAATAAGAGATGAAGTAAAATAAATAAAATTAAGGAGTAAAAATTTTTGATAAACCATTTATTCTTAATTTACAGATAAGAGGAAATAAATTCATTTCCTTTAATTTATTACTACAATTATTTTCTAATTTTCCTATAATTTGAATAAAAATATTTTCTTCCCTCTTTATTCTAATAATTTTTTTTTATTTATTTTAAAGAAAATAATAATCATTATTTTTTAATTATTAATTTTTCTAATAATATTTATTTTGATTATTTTATTTTATCTTCTATTTTTCAACCGTCAAAACATTGCCTAGGAACAAACTTTGGTGGCCGAAAGTAATGGCAAAAATGAAAAATCAGAACAAAAAAGCGGGACCCAAAATTACACGTCATTCAGTCAATTTTCCATAGCCAACCACCTAAGTGTATGAGGACTTCCAACACTATTCTGTCGCCACGCCGAATGACACGTCATCAACCTACCCCACAAAATATTTCCTTGAAAATTGAAAATCAAAAATTCAAAATACAAACAAGTATCCTCTGCACCAACTCAGGAAACAAAATCAATACCAGAGTGTAAGTAACCACAGAATTCAAATGCTCCCTCACAGCCCAACACCTGGCATTGCGGGACACCACAACCTTCTCTTCCTTGGTCTTATCACACAAAACCCTAGGCCTCCACCTTTCCAGTTATAAATTCCTCCCCAAAGACTATTCTACCCTTCAAGAAATATTTCCAACATCTTTTCTTCTTTACCAGTATAAAGCAAAACCAAGAGAAAGTTCCAAACAGAAACGAGAATGAAGGACTGTGAGCTGTGCAAGGTACCGGCGAGAAGCTACTGTGAATCCGATGAGGCTTTTCTGTGCTGGGACTGTGATGCCAAAGTTCATGGAGCTAATTTTCTGGTGGCTCGACACGTGCGCAGTCTCCTCTGCCAGTCTTGTCAGTCTCTCACCCCTTGGAAAGCCACCGGAGTTAAACTCGGCCGTACTGTTTCTGTCTGTGAAATATGTGTAAATGGAGACCATCTGAAAGAAGGAGAAGGAGAATCTGAGCAAGATGAGGATGATGTGGCCGTCGGCGAGGGGGGAGGGGATGCTGATAATCAGGTGGTTCCATTGTCATCGATGACAACGCCGCGGCCGCCGACTGATACTTCCTCCTCTTCTTCTTCTAGTAATAGTCAAGAGAGCGTGAGTAGAGTGGTTTTTGAACCTGCGAACGTCAAATCCTTGAAACGGAAGCGTAAGAGTTGGATAGATCTTAATTCTACGTTTCAGGTGTGTGTACGGTATTACTTGTCTTTAGCTTCAGTTTTTTGTTTCTCTGTTTATACTTTTGTTTTATAGAATTGCATTTTTCTTCATATCTTTTACATCTCATTCAGATATTCTGTTTATTGAAGGAAACTGATAACGAAGACGGACTGAACGATGATGCAGAAGGATCTCAACCGCTCATCTTATAAACGGAGAAACGGTGGCCCAGCGTTAACAACTCAACCAGGTGGCGACGGTGACGGTGATGGTTCTTTTAACTACCCTTCGAGAAACTGGAGAATCGAAACGGCGACGCGTCCATCTAAGGCCGGTTCAAAGATCTGTGGCGGTTGTCGAGTCTCCGAAGAGATTTCAGCAACGGGACAAGTGGAGATAGGAGATTGAACGAAGAATCTGGAGCAATTGATGTTTGCTCATCGTGGAGTCCTGGCCGAATGATTTGACGTATTTTAGGGGTAATTTTAGCTTGACCTTTAAAAAACACAGCAGTCTTTAGTTGAGTTGTTTGTTGACCATTAGGTAATTATGCATTACAATTTGTTAATTAAATGTGTCACCGAAAATTTTGTTAATTAATTAGATTGATGTATTCTGATTTCTCGGTGAGCAATATTACCACAGATATCGTACGGAAAAAGGACTCATTCCGTGTTCTCTTATTTTAGTATAATTATAAAAAAAATATTTATCACTATATATAGATTGTGTTTGGTAAACCTCAAAAATTGTAAAATATGTAAAACTGTAAAATATAGATTGTGTTTGGTGTAGACTGAGTTTCATTTAGCCCCTAAAATGATTTGGTGATCAAAGCTCAAATATGGTGAATTATGGATAACAATCTCTGCCTCAATGCTAAAAAAAGAAACTAAAAAGGAAGTCCTAAAAAACTGGTAAAAGTAATAAGGGGACAGCAAATCAACCATCATGTAAGTTTCTGTGAAAGATAATATTTATTGGCATTAGTCTAATGATGAGTGCTTGTCCCAATTCCCTGTACTAAAATAAAGATAATAATTAAAACTGAAATTAAAAATTTCAGTCAGGCTGATTTCCTTGTTACTAAAAAAAGGATAGTAAAATTAAAATTCTATTTAATAATTTCAGTCGCGAGAGATTGAAGAATAAAATTTCATTAGAAATGCAAAGCGAGTTATGCATGCGCGAATTTAGTTAGTCATTCAATTAATATGATGAAAATATACAATAAATATTTATATATGTATTTTTTTTCTGGGAAATAAATAAATAATTTTAAAAGTACTTCTTTATTTGTTGAGAGTATAAAATTATTTCCCCTACAAATCAATTAGGCAAGAAAATTTCCTATGTTAAAAAATAATAAAATATATTTAGTTTTAATTGAGAATTTAATTCTGAAATTATGATACAATAAAAAAATATAACTGATCGGAATAAATGTAGGTGCAATACATAAATTGATCAATGTACTTTAAAAGACCTTATATCATCCTCAATTTTCACTTTGATCCATTGAATACTTCAATTTATGAAATTACACCTGTTAAACATTTTAATTGACCTATTAAACACTTAAATTTATAAAATTAGATCGATTAAACACTTATTAGATAGTTGAAAAATATAAAAATTATTGTTTCAAAAATCATAATAACCACATATCCAATCATTATTTTGCATATAAAAATCAAAAATCTTAAAAATTTATTGTTTCTATCGTGATGAAGTTTGAAATTATTATAAAAAGAGAAATTGAGGATGTCATAAGGTAGACTTAAAGTTTAGGGTGGCACAAGATTTTTTTTTATTAAACTTTAGGGGGTTAAATTATGTATTCAGCTAATAAATGTATTCAATTCAAAAATTAATTTTTTTGAGTATTTAGAGAAGGGAATTTGAACCCGAATCTATTGTCAAATTATATATGCACGCATCACTAGACTATGTATTAGTGTGCAACTTATAGATTAATTTTGAATGTAACTGATTTGATAATTTGTTGAAGAAACTCAAATTGTGATGCACCAACAATTATTCTTATAAAAATAATTAGTACTATATACCTAGTGAATCTGATGAATACCTGCTCTAAACTATTATTCTCTTAGAAAACTGTGGACACAATTTGTTCACTAAACTCAACTGCCTAACAAAATTTAACTAATTTTTAATTACAATTGCATTTTTTTTATCAGTTGGTACAAATTTGAGATAAAAATTATAAAAAAAAAGCTAATTTTGAAAAAAAAAAAAAAGTTTGGAGGATAAATTGATTATTATATAATATATTGATTCTGGTTTCTATGAACCAGCAATCGTGACATCGCTAATTTCAATTGAATCCAATCCTTTTACAGAATCGGACCAGTGTGGGCCCCTACCTCTTACATCCACGCTTCAGAATCATGAAAATGGCATTGTATTGTACGTGGTTCTCTTTCTATAAGGCACGTCCTGATAGTAGCTACTAGGTAGCAGCTTTGAGAAAGTGTAGTTGAAAGAAAGGGTAAAATGTTGAAAATGTCAGGCTGGCATCGAATCAGAAATGCCAGATAATCCCATGGCCAATCTGAGGGCACGTAGATTACTTGAATCAGTAAGCTATGCCTAATTATCAGGAGACCTCTCTCTGCTTTAGCCTTTAGCCTCATATGGTTCTTTGATTAATACATGATTCTCCGTGGCATTGCCTTTAGCCTCATAACCTTGTTTCAATTCAATCAACAAAACCACCCTTTTGCTAACCCTTTTTTTTTTTTTTTTTTTTTTTTTTAATCAGGAGACCTCTTCTGCTTTAGCCTTTAGCTCATATGGTTTCTTTGATTAATACATGATTCCTCCGTGGCAATTGCCCCTTTAGCTCTACCTAGTTTCAATTCATCAACAAACGCACCACTTTTGCTAACCCTTTTTTTTTTTTTTTTTTTTTTTTGTGAATTTTTGCTTGTTTAAAGTTTTTTTTTTTTTTTTTTTTTTTTTGTGAATTTTGCTTGTTTAAAGTAATAACTAATAATGAAATACATATAGTGACAAGTCGCATATATATTTACTACTAAGCTATGTCTTAGTGTGTAATTTTCAAATTTTAATATATTAAATATTCATTATATTTTGAAAATTTCGGTGAATTATTATATACAATTTTTAGGATCTTTTAATTAAGGACATATATGAAAAATAAGAAAAAAATATAGTAAAACTAATTTAACTAATTATACTTAAACCATGAAAAAAATATATGAAATTACAATTTTGAGATGGAGGGAGCACTTTTTTAATCCTATTAGTATTTATATGTTCTAAAATTTAAATTTTTAATCCAATCAAAACTAAATAAAATAAACAATTTCTATTAGTCCTAATTAACAATGCAAACATAAAATTATAAATAAATTTCATAAAATCTAATGAAAATAATTATATCAAAACAAGTTTCAATTTAATTTTTCTAAATCTTTTCAAAAACTATATATTAATAAAAAGAATTAATCATCTGCTCTAAATTTTTTTTGTATAATGCATTGAATATATATTTTTTAAACAAAAGAAGCTTTCACAAGAAAAACATTCTAGCTTTATCCCTTCACCTTTTTATGATAGCCTTGCATTGCATAGCGCATTTAGGCATCTGAAGACTGGTTTCGAGGACAGATATTTATGATTTTTAAATATTTTTCCCTACAAATATCTGGTGGTGGGCCTCTGTCCTTCACAGCCTGCTACATCACTTCAGATTTCAGGCAAGAAAAGTAGAAGAAAGACTACTAAGCTATAATAATAATAAATTAAACTAATGCTCAGTTTTTGGCCGGCCATCACAATCAAAATTATTAGGAAGAATTACTATTTCAGACCTCAAGTTTGATTTTAATTACTGTTTAGTTTTTTATTTTGGCATAAATATATTATTTCATCCTTATATTAAGGACCTATTCAATTAATAAGTTGTTTTGTTAAAAAAAAAAACATGCTTTAGCTGTTAAATAATATGAAAAGAGTAAATATGAAGGACTAAAACACTACTATCTTTAAATCTTAAGTAAGATAATATTTTATAACAGGTTAATTTCTGTAACTTTTAACTTTTAGTATTTTTATAAAACAATTGCTAAAATGCTACTAGTTATGAAAACAACTAAATACTAATAATACGGCTAATAATTATTCATAAAATAATTTTACTGAACAAACTCTAAAATACTTTCAATAGATCCATGCATCGAATTTTGGCTATAGTACACACGGGGCATTTGAGAATGAATAGTATACATGGCTTAATGTATTTATCAGAAAAAAAGAGGGACTAAATTGTCATTATATTAAATTTTAAGGATTAAATAGTAAGTTTGCTAAATCAATTAAATATTAAATACTCATATAAGACCCCATAAGAGATTGTGGTTGAGAAAGTTTGTCGTCATCCCATCCCATGTGCTTTAATTAACAAATCAGAGTCTAATAAATTAATTTTTTAAAATATGAAACTATATTTAACGGTTGAAACGATTAAGAGAACCTTCTTTTTAAATACATTAATCAAATTAAATTAAATTAAAAAAAAAGGAATCCCTCGACAGAAAAGAAAAGAATCAACATCTTGTGGTGGAGAATTAATGAGTGATTTGAGGAAGAGTTAATTGTGTGGTTGGTGATGGTGGTTGTGTGTTCCGATATATATTTTTTTTTCTTTAACCAATCAGTACATATTATTTTTGAAGATATTGAGTGATCTTAGGATTCTGCTTACTCTGACATGATGTTATGTGACAGTGACCACATTATTATTTTTTGTTTTTTCAATAATTTAGATGTTTGGCTTTTCTTAATTTTGAATAATTTATTAAAAATTGTCTGAAATTAATCATTTTATACATTTTAATCATGATAGTAATAGTAAGAAACGAGCGTCTTGCCAGGCTCAGTGGGCTGAATTTCTTTCCATAAAAAATAGGTAATATAATAAGCAAAGTAAAAATTATATTTAAATTTTTTAAAAAGAAATGATGGAATTTATAGTATAATATGCAAAAACTATATTATATTGAATAAATAGAATTTTTTTTTCAAAAATTATAAATATTTGATTATTTTAGAGTCTAATTGAATTGTAGGATTTAAGATAAAAACATTGTAATTATATAATAAAGAATATTTTAGAAAATTTTTACCTATAGAACTGTTTTACGCACTTTAATTAATCAAGAAAAATAGATGATTGTTAAATATGATATGATATCAAAGATTATGTATTTTTAGTAATATAAATATATTATTTTAATCATCTTAAAATTATTATATTTGATCTATTTTATTTCATTTCACATAATGCTTTTGGATTTTTATTTCTATTTTTAATAGTACCATTTGTTTTTGTTTTTTAATGCTTTTAGGATTTTTTATTTCTATTTTTAATAGTAACGTTAGATTTGTTTTTGTTTTTTTTTGTTAAATAAAATGTTGTTTTCATCTTAAAATTATTATATTTGATCTATTTTATTTCATTTCACATAATGCTTTTGGATTTTTATTTCTATTTTTAATAGTACCATTTGTTTTTGTTTTTTTTGTTAAACATAAAATGTACATTTAGTATTTTTTTTGTCACTTTTTACTATAAAAACTATTAAATATATAAAAATATACCTTTTGTTTTTT